CAGGATGAACATGAGGTGGACCATGATGAATTGGTGGCCTAACAAATTCATGATGAGGAGGAGGAATTGCATCACGTCTCATTTCTCTATGTGGTGGTGGCAATCCAACTGGAGGTCCATAAACTCTTTCATATCTTTCTAAAGGTCTATGTCTGTCTGTTGGACCAGGACTTCTAGCATAGTATCTATCATAATCAGGAGGTGTTATTGATCTTGGACGACGATAAGTATCAGGTCTTTCATAAACTGGTTCAACAAGTGCCACTTTGTCATACATAATAATTCTTGGTTTTGCATGCTTTGCATCTCTAGCATCTTCTGAACTTCTAAAGCAAACATATGCAACACGTTCATCTAATTCATGAGAAATTCTAATAGAAAAATCTCCAAATTTTTTATATTCTCTGTAAAGAGTATCTTTTATCACTTCATCACTTGCTTTTGGGTGAATTGAACTGATACAAAGTACTTTATAGCTATATGGACGTTCTGCAGGTAATTCTCTGGGTGCTCTTAAATAATCATCTCTATGAGAACTTGATTCTACATAACGAGCATGAGAAGAGGCACGTGTTGGAGGACTAGGACTTCTTGCACCTCTGCTACGTCGACGAATTCTTTCAGGTGTTATTCGTTCATCACTGGAATCATCATATCTGTAAATTAATTAAAAAATTTCTAGTAATATTAAAATATTTTTTATTATATTTTAATACAAAAAAGAAATTAACAATATATACATTTGAATATTTTTCAAATATTTTTTAAGATTTTATAAAATGTGTTTGATGTAAAATATATAAAAAAAAAAATCTACTAAAAAATACGATACAAAAAAGAAAATTTAAATAAAATATAAAAATATCTAATATATTATAAAATTGTTTACCGTCCCATCGATGATCTGCTTCTTTTGACGCGTGGAGGAGGAGTGTCACGACTAGAGCTCCGTTTCATATTGTTGCGGATTTTAACCGTGATCTTATGTCGATCGTCACGCGGAATCCCAATCATCAACGCTGCTTAACACGGCAAAGCCGAACAAATGGCGAAGGAAAAAACAAAGGAACAATAATTACACGAAGATTATTCAGCTTGAATCAAGCCGTCATTCACGAAGTCTTTATCCTTCTCAATGAGCACAAAATGGCGACTTTCTTCTTACTTTACTCAACTTCCGGAATTTCTTTGCAACCTAAAAGAAATTCCATAATGATTAAATTAAATTTTCTTTTGCATTTTTTGAAATTTCTTAATGTCTTTTAATTTTATTTGTTCTTTTTAAATTATATTTGTTTTGATTTCCTTCTATGTATATTGTACTACTACTTGCATGTAGAAACTATTGATTCACAAATTGATATATGAGTATACTTCCGTCGACGAAACGAGAAGATTCGTTCAACGATATTTATTGAAGAAATATGAATTATTTTTTCTAGAGGGCGTTCTATACATATTAGTGTTATTATTTTATGAAAGACGGCGTATATTATAAAAAATTAAATTAATCAAATAATATAATTTATGAACAATTTCATTTTCATTTTATTTTGTTTTATAAGTAAAAATAATAAATTTATATTAAAATATATTTACAGATGTTGTGTGTAATTAAATCAAATAATTTTTTTATTCAATAATTTTAATTTCTTTATTCAATGAATTTCAGTGCTGTAAATAAAAAAAAATAATTTTTAAACTTATTCTAAATATAGTTAATATATATATATATATATAAATTTATATTACATATGTATATAAATATATTTCTAAATATAGTTAATATATATATATATATAAATTTATATTACATATGTATATAAATATAATCATTAATTAAATATATTTTTATATTTATATTCAATATTTTCAAGTAAATATATTTTCAAAATAAATATTGGAAAAAGTACTATGAATAAAAATTGAAAGTGACAATCAAATATTGAAATGAACATCTTATAATTAATATATCTTTGTTTTAACTATAGGAAGTTGAACAATTTAAAGTTAACCTTACATTTCTTATTCAGAAATTTATATTTGTTTTATATATGTATTTTATTAATAATTGATACATTAATATAAATAACAAAATAAATTGTTTGAATTATTATTTAAAATCATTATTTAATCATTATTTAAAATCATTTATGATCAAAATGATATATATAGATAATATAAAATACTTACATTAGATATTCTTTCGTGTTAATTTTTCATTTATGTCTTTTTTATTTTATTTTTAAATATTATTCGAATTTAATTCAGTATTTATAAATAGAAATTAAATATTCTTAAACTTTTTATTATGAACTTAACATGTTTCTAATTTAATGAATTTTATTATTCATTGTAATAATCATTTTGAACTGATTTTTTAAGAGTGACAAATTATTGTTGAAATATTGATTTTACGAATAAATATATGAAATTATAAAAATTATAAAAAACTATAAAATAAAACTATATTTGCTTATATTATAAATAAACTATTGATAATATAAATTATGATTGTGATATATTATTGTACATAATATATGAATGTAATATATTCATTCTATATTTGTGTAATTATAATTTTCAAAATAAATGAATATATATGTTACTATTTGTATAATAGAGATTTTGTATATCTAAATAAATATTATTTAAAATATTAAAATAGATTGTTTTCTTCTTCTTTAATAAAATAATTTATAATAATTAAAACATATTTCATGTCAAAGAATGTACGTCATAAATGTTTTATTACATAAAATATTTTTCAAAATGATTTCCTATAAAAACATAAGTAAAAAAAATGATTGTTGTTACAAATTTCATTATTTAATATGTATATTTTATTGTAATGTGGCTTACTTCTTGTTAACTATTTAGTAAATAAAAATATAAAAAAGTTTGAAAAATACTTCTAAAATGTTTCTCGAAATGTTTTCTTCATTTTCTTCAAAGTAATTAAAAGTATATAATTATGTAAATAATTTTGATAAAGAATATTATTTTAGTATAATTAGTATAAATATTATTATATTTATTTATATATATATAATTATTATAAAATATAATATTATAAAATATAATTATTAGTATAAAACAAAGTCTTTTCTATTATTTGTTTTAAATAAAATTGTATATTTATAAAATATATTTATTAAAATAATATTTATATAAATATATATATTTTTAAGGTAATTTCTTAAAGATTAATTCACTAATTCAATTTTTTTAATTTATCAATTTTACAATGATTAAAATTTTTCATTATTTCAATAAGATTGTTATTTTTATTATCATATTGCAAAATTGTTCAACAACATTTGTTCAACTTTTTTTTGATTATTTAATTATATATCTTAAAAAATATATTTTTTAGAATTTTTTATATAATATAAATGCATAAAAGATACATAAAAGATTTATTAAAGTTGAAAGATTTTAGATATTTTTTTGAAAAATTGAAATATTATTTGATTAACTAAAAATAATATACTATGAGTTAACTAAATAAAATATCACATTAAATGATTAAATCATAATAATTCTAAAAATAAGTTATAAAAACTTTTGAAATATGATTCCAAAAATTTTTTTTGTTATTGTATTATTAATGATTTTTTAATTGAAAAAAATATATAGAAAATGATGTTGAATATATTTTTATAATTTTTATTATTACAAATATTATATATTTAATTTTCTTATAAATTTTATTGAAGTATATCAGGAACTTGTTTTTGTTTTTGTAATCTATCACTTATTTTTCTTTCTATTTGACTATTATTATTTATATTTTTAATTAATTATTTATTATAATGAATGAAATCAGATAAATGATACAATTAAAGCATAATTTTATAAAAATAACTCAAAAAAGAGAATAACATTTTTTATTCAAAGGTATTGTTTTGAAGAAAATCAAAACTGAAAATTTGTCAAGTAGAAGAAAATTAAAAAATTAAACTATAATTTCTGATTATAGATTATTGATAGAAGATTATTCTAATCAATATACAAAGTTTAAATAATAGATATGAAATAAAATTTTTTTTATTTCAAGATTATTTTTCAAAAAAATTAAATTTCAAAATTAATGCTTCAATAATATCCTTATTAAACTTAATTTTAAATTTAGATTTTTTTAAAAATAAAAATTTGAATAGAAAAGAAAAACAATAAAAGAAGAAGATAAACAGATTTATTATCTTCTTTCTTTTTCATTTATTTTTCGTATAATAATAATAATAATTCATTTCAAATAAAAATTAATTAAATTCTCTTGTATTCAAACTTAATTTTCTCAGAAACATAATCTTAAATGAAAAATATTATTGTTTTTCTACTTATTTTTATATGCGAAAATCATTTTTTTACATGTAATTGTATCTAATTTTTCTATATAAATAAAATATTTGATTTTTTATTTTAAAAATTCACCAATTTACAATATAAAAATTTTTTTATTTTTTTTAAAATATTATAGTAAAAGACAAAATATAATTTACTTAAATCTATAAAATTATATTTTAAATCTTAATTATATATAGACTCAAAAAAAATTTCATTATAAATTCTAATAAAAAAATTAAAAATCTATCTTTTAGTTTTTTCTTATAATTTTGACCAATAGCAACTAAAAAAAAAATTTTTTATATATTATCTAATACTAATCTTTCTTATATCTCAAAAAAAATTCAAGTCATTTGATCCAATTTTAAAAAATTATTTTATTTTAAAGAATACTCATATTTTTCTTGTATATATATATTTTATACTTTCTATATATTTTATACTTTTTATTATCTTTACTATTAATATTTGTTATAGTATTTATTTTTTTTATCATACATATTAAAAATAATTTACAAAATCTAAAATAGAAACTCTTTGGGATATTCTGAAAATTATTATATTTAAATAAAAAAATTACAAAAAATAATTTAATGAAGTGTTAAATTTATATACATTTAACATTTGAACATTGGTTTGTTCAGTTGTTTGGAGATTTATTTAATTGTTTGATTACAAATTTGGTATTTGAATTTTGAAAAGTTTATTATATTCTGCATAGAAAAGGTACTTTTTAATAAATTTTTAATTTTCTAATCAAGCTTTTTTCAATATATTCATTATTCTTTAAATTCAAAATTTTTTTTTTATAAATTATTATATGTACAAAAATTTATTACAGAAACTTTTATAAATTAGGTTACAAAATTCTTTCCCATTCTTTCTATTCTCCTTATTCTCTTCAATAGATTTTCATCTTTTTTGTATTAAGAATCATTTTTGTATTAAAAAATATTTAGAAAGAATTTTTATAATTTAAGTTTTCAAAAAGTTAATCACTTTTAAAAACTAAGATTTCTTCAAAAAAATATTTTTTCGTTAGAATCCCATTGAAAAAAAAATCATGGATTTAGATGGTTCCTTCTTTTAATTAAAATTCTAATTAATTTTCAAAAATAATATAAACTTTTTATATAATAATCCAATATATCATATGGCACAACTTAATACTAAGAAGTTTTTGAAACTTGAGATTTGAAGTTGAAAATAAAAAAAAAAAAAATTTTAAAATTCTATGCTTTTATTTTTCTTTTAAAATTTTTATTATAACAGTGTTATATTATTCAAATATTCTTGTCTATCCAAATCTTTACATACATTATGTCTATAATTGGATAACAGCTATAATTATAATTTTTATACATATAAATTTATCAATATGCCAAATTGAAATTAGAGAATAAAGATTATCTATTAAAAAAAATTACAAAATATTTCACAAAATTAGACTCAACTATAGTTCTTAAATGATAGAAAATAGAAAAAGATTTTAATTAAATGATTTCATACAGTATATTATTAGTAAATAAGTATATATACAATAATATATGTTTGATGAAAATATGATATTTTAAAAATTTCAAAATTACTTTAATTTCTCTAAATTAAACTATATATTTTTTTTATATTGATTAATATAGTTTTTAATTTTCTATAAAAATATATTATTAAAGACATAGTTATAATGTGATACTTTAAAAATGATAATATTTTGTTTTTAATTGAATATTTATCTTATAAAAAATAAGAAATAAATAAATATATGATTTTATGCTTTCACATATTTTATAAAATTAAAATTAAAATGTTTAAATAGACAAAAATCTATATCTTTTATAAATAATAAAGAAATAAATCTATCAGTAAAAAAATTTAGTCGTATTTAAAACAAATAAAAAATTTTTTAAATTTTTGAAACATCTTCTGAAATAGATATGTACTAAATTATGCATAAAATTATTTTTTATTTTCTATTGTTTAAAGAATTATAGCCGAATCTAGTTATATCAAACATCTTTATTGTAAATTATAAATTTTCATGTTTCATATATCATATATTATTTTTTAAGTAAATGAAGCTTATGTAGTTAAATATAATATAGAAGTTTTTTAAAATTTTATTATTATTATTATTTATTATATATTAAAATTAATATTTTAGAAATTAAAATGATGAATAATTAGGAAATCATGAAAATGAAAATTAAAAAAATAAACAATACATATTATATAACTGAATACAAAAGTTAATTTTTTGTTTTATTCATAAATTGTTTTGCCTTTCTTTCAAATTCTTGTCTATTAAATTTATATTCTTGTGCAATATCTGCCATTAAAGGATCATCAGGATTTGGATTTCTTAACAAACATTGTATAGCATCTAAAAGGTTTCTTAATCCAATAGTTGGTTTCCAATTACCTTTAGGTGGCATATTTAAAAGATCCATACAAATACGGCCTTTATTATCAATATTTGGATGATAAATAGGTGTCTGAAAAGTAATTCTTGGAGGTTCAAATGGATATTGTTCAGAAATATCAATTGATAATTGAAAAATATATCCACTATATGGACTTTCATTTGGTCCAAGAATCGTTGCCACAAAGTTTTCAAAATTGTCAGATTTTGGATAACACGAAATACCTTCTATAGGATCTTGATTAAGTTTTTCAAATTCACGTTTCAATCTAATAGATCTCTGCATTATCTATAATAAAAATAAACATATATTTTCCATTTTTAAATTAAACTAATTTGATATAAATAACAAACTTACTTTAAAGTTACTATTTTAAATATACATAAAAACTCATTTTAAATATATAATAATTATTTACTATCATTATATAACTAAAAAATATAATAAAAACAATAAATCAACCATAAATTTTTTATTAATAACTTACCTTTTTATTACTTATTATTTTTAATAATATCAATATATTTAATTGTTTTTACTAAGGTAAAACTTTAGTTTCTTTTTCAATCTTTTTTAATCTTTGTTAATTACATGTATTTGAATCATATAACTATTATTTACATCTTTTATGATATTTTTGATGTACATTTATATATACATATATATAAAATTATATATATAATTTATATTAATAATTTATAATAATAATTTATATT